ATAAAAAAAAGGTTACACTAATATACAATATGTATAATATAAGTAGTCAAGTTTAAAACAAAATATTACTTTGGCTCAATGGTTGAGTCTTGGAACCTAAGGTCCGATTCCAGTGGGTATCATTTAATTGCCCAAAATTTTCTTTCCTCTAGAGGGTGACATGTGTCACCCTCTGATTAGTAAGAAAAATATATTAAATTAAAAATAAATTTAATCATCCAATCAAATGGTGACGCTTGTCATTACACCTGACATTGTTTGATTTGAGAGTTAAATTTATTTTAATTTATTAAAATTATGATCAAATTGATAGAATATATAATTAACAATGACCAAATGTGTAATTATACAAAATATTTTAACCGCCACATCAGCTTCTCCGTTATATATTAACAACAAATGCCTTAATTGAATGCATTTAAATAGTTGAGTGATCTGATGGATAAAATTTAAAAAATGATGGTCAAAATGAAAAGGGGCAATAGTTAGGTGGTCAGTGGTATAGTTTGCCCTTTATTTTAAATAATTTATCCTTAAATTGTTAACTAATTTATAATTTTACATTGAGCACTTTAGAATTCTAGTTTTTTATATATTAAATTAATAGTGTTCATCGTTAGTGGTGTCCTTTATTTTAATTTATTAAAATTAGGACCAAATTGATTAATTGATAGAATATATGAGTAACAATCACCAAATGTGTAATTATACAAAATGTTTTCAACACCACATCAGCTTCTCTGTTAAATATTAACGTCAAATGATTTAATTGAATAAATTTAAATAGTTAAGTGACCTAATTGATAGAATTTCAAAAATGATTGTCAAAATGAAAAGAGGCAACAGTTAAGTGATCAATTAGTATAGTTTACCCTTTATTTTGAATAATTTATCTTTAAAATTTTAACTAATTTATAATTATAATTTGAACCTATAGAATTTTAAATTTTTATAAACTAAATTAATAATTCTTATCGTTATGATGTTCATCAGTGCTCGTCGACCGTTGTAGAATTTTTTTTACAAACGCAAAATTAGATCCAATTAACTTGAGTTCTATCTAATTTGATTTAACCATCAAAACTCAACAACCAAATAGATGTTGGATTGACGCAATGGAAAAAGTAATCTGATGATCATGTATCAGAAATCCATGTAATTTACATTTTGATCACTGTGAGCGGTTCGAAATTTGCAGGAACTGTGCATTCTCAATGCTAAAATCAATATCATAACATCAACTTTAATCTGTCTAACCTCAAAACTCTGTATTTCTGCTAACGAAAATTAAATCAAACTAACTTGAACTTTATTTAATCAAAGCTCAATAATTCAAATACGATGTTGGATTGTCATAAACACTCATTGATGTTAGATTCTCATAAATACTCATTGATGCAATTGAAAGATTAATTTGATGATAACAAATCAGGTATAAAAAGAGAACTCGTTTACAAGGTAAGAAAATTCTACAACGCTCGCACAACTAACAATGAGCACAATTATTTTAATTTATAAAAATTTAAAATTCTTAAGGGCTCAACCTGTAATTATAAATTAGTTGAAAATTTAAAGGTAAATTATTTAAAATAAAGGATAAACTATACCAATGGCCACCTAACTATTGCCACTTTTCATTGTGACCACCATTTTAAAATTTTGTCAATTAGGTCACTCGACTATTTAAATACATTCAATTAAGTAACTTGCCGTTAATATTTAACGGAGAAGCTGATGTGGTAGTTAAAATATTCGGTATAATTACAGATTTAGTCTATGTTACTTATATATTTATATCAATTTGATCCTTATTTTAATAAATTAAATTATAAAAAAACTTAACTCTCAAATCAAATAGTATCATGTGTCACTGGTACCAAGTGTAATAACACGCGTCGCCATCTGATTAGACAATTAAATTTATTTTAATTTATTTTTAATTTAATATATTTTTCTCACCAATCAATCAGATAGTCGAAAGACAACTTTTTTATTTCAACATAGCTTACATATCAGTTTCTTGATTGAATTAATAGCTTCTAATCTGTTCAAGGAAACCTTATTGCTGGCTTTGTTTGTGCCCTGCCCCTTGGTAATTGATTTTGTTGTCCAGTTATAATTATTATCCTTTGAGGAGTATTTTGATATAGGCTTCTTCCTTTTTTCCTGCTCCAAGTCGGATTCTCTTTTTATTGGCATATCTCGGAGGGTTTTGACTGTCAGCCCAGCTATGTTTTTCTTCATTAAATGCAGTCTTGATTCAAAAGAAATTCATCAACTATATTTCAAGGCACAAGATGGCTATGAATCTACTCAGATTGGCATATCTCGCAGTAGGTGTTTCCCTTCTTGTTTTTCTCCTTGGACCTCATTTTCCTGTAAAAATGATAGAATTTGATTCTTTCTTTGCACATTTTCTGGTTTTAGTTGTCGTAATTAAAAAAAAACACTTCTAGAAAATGATAGATTAAATTGTATTTTATTGAGATCACAATGGACCTCCTATGTTTATCACAGTGAAAAAAAAAAACAGAAAATGCGCAATTTATTATGATCATCATTTTTATTCTTCGATTGTCATAGAAAATCAATATTTGATTAATTCATGATCCACAATCCCGTTACGTCTATCCGTCGCAGTGGCGTGGGAAGAGCATTCCCTGTGGCATCGTTTGATGCAATGAAAGAACCATTCGTAAGTACAGTGGGACATGCAGCCACCGAAGCAGAATACATCAAACTTCGCACTTGCCGGCTCTGCGGCAAACAAAAGCGCTAGCAGCAGCACCGCCGTTGCAACAGTCGAGTTGCATCTCCTTCCTTTGACTCGGCTTGACTCCATGTCTGTAAGTTCTTAACTCTGCTACAAATTTTAATTGTTCAGATAAACTAGACTGCCCACATAAATATATATATAGACACACACACTGACAAATTATCATACATGGAATGAGTGGATTTTTTTACCGTTCAAAACAAAAAAATTAATTCATTACCAAATAATTTTAAGAGTAAATTACGATATATATTGTAACTGACAAATTATCATACATAGAATGAGTGGATTTTCTTACCATTCAAAACAAAAAATTAATTCTCTACCTGAAAGTCACATTTGACTATTCAAAAAAGGCTTAATAGAAAATAAGTACCTAAAGTATATCTCGAAATATAATTTGACGCCTAAAGAATGTTTCGCTAAAAATAGTTACCTAACGTTTTCTCTATTATACTTTTAGGTATATATTGCGATATTTTTTAATTTTTTAATAATAAAAATATTTTTGTTAAAAAAAAATCTCCCCTCACCCCCCCATGTTTTTCTTCCCTGCAAATGGCCAACGATTGTCTGCCATGACTGAGCAAACGAAAAACGGTTGACCACCACATCCTATCAAACACCTTATTACCATGATCGATCTAAGAGATTTTTAGGGATTCAAAACCCTGAAAATTGTGAAAGTATGGGATTTTTGGTTGTGGTTCGTTGTTCGGACAATCTTTGTTGGGTGTTCGGCCGATTGACGGTGTTGGTGGCGGCCGATGATGGAGATAGAATTAAAATTAAGGTTTCAAAGTTTTGAGTTTTTATTAAGATTTGAAAAAAAATATTTTTATTTTAAATAAAAATTCTTAAAATTACGAAAAGGTGAAACATGTCACTTAATGGAGAAGATTTTTAATGGCGGTTAAAAAATTAACAAACTATTAGAATAATATAACACACAAAAAACATAAATTTAAACCAATTTACCATATAATACATACTCAAATTAGAATAACGAAAGAAAAATCACACCAAATTTTCTGAAATGCTCCCTCCGTTAATCTTCTTTGCAATTGCTTCTACTATCTCTATCAATTTTCTGAATTGCAATTGCCCCGATTTCATTCTTACATATATATAGTTGAGAGAATTTTTTTAATGTTCAACTTGTTATTACAGGGTATAGGTTAGGATAGGATAGGGGTACGGGTTAAACTTTTATCATTCGAATGCCAGCTACCTATTATACCTATGTGACTGGCATGCCATGCGACTTTGCCGGCCATGTGAGGGGACCCCGAGGAGATGCATGCGGTCACTTGCAACCCAGCTCCCGGGAGAGTGGCCCCCTTGGGAGACGCATGGTTTAAACTTTTATCATTCGAATGTCAGCTACCTATTGTACCTACGTGAGTGGCATGCCATGCGACTTTGCTGGCCACACGAGGGGACTCCGAGGAGACGCATTCGGCCACTTGCAACCCAGCCCCGAAAGAGTGGCCCCCTCCGAGCACAATGCGACTTCGAGGGGCTGAGACGCCCGGTCGGCAACGCGACGTCGGGTACACTGTAACATTTATCCTATTTCGCGAAATAATTTTAACACAGTATTATTCAAGAAATTTTTTTCACCGCATTATTTGAAAAATTCACCCATAACGTAACATGTAATAGTAAAAAATAAAATAATATATATATATATATATATAATATAGAATAATAATAATAATAATAAGCAATAATAATAGTATGTTATAATAGAAGTAATGAGACAAAATGATAACAAAATTTAAATTCAATCTCGGATGAAAATAGGTGTTTACACTTGCTCTGGCAGACTTATGGACAGTGCTTTCACTTTTGTCAATCTGCCAAATAAGGTTTGAGGAAGGCTTTGTCAAAGACGCTGTAACTTACATGTTCACGGATGATCTTGTGGTGAGGCCTATTGCCACTAATTCTATTGTCACTTTGCTCAACAAGTACGAGGTTAAGGATGTTGGAGAGCTTGAAGAAGAAGTCGTTGCCGTTAGAGTTAATGACGGTGTGGGGTTGCTGAAGGCATCCTTGCAGTCCAAGTCAGCTCTCACTGATGTCTTCCTTGAGAAGATAGCTTAGTGAAGAAGTTTGATTTAAACTATGTCTTCCATTGCTTTAAATCTGATTCAAATTTGAAAGGTGAAATTCTTATATCCTTTTGTCTTTTATACAGTATTTATACTATTTCCATTAATAGAGGAAAGAATCCCTTGTTACTCACTTCAACTCTATTTGTTTAAGAACCAATGAAGATAAAGTATCCCCACATTTGCTTAGGCCTTCTAATTCACATTATTCATTGATTGAACAACTGTGAAGATCTCACATTCAAACAATAGTTCTTCTTCATTTTCCCCAATGGCTGGCTCCAGTGCCACCACTGTCAGCCTAAAGCTTCTGATAGACTCGAAATCGAACAGCCTTGTGTTTGCCGAAGCAGGTAAAGATTTTGTTGATTTTCTCTTTAATATAATGTCATTACCTGTTGGCACTGTGATAAGGCTCCTTGGTGAACAAACAATGGTGGGCTGCACCGGAAACATTTACGAGAGCATCGATAATTTGGGCGATTCCTACATGCAATCAGCAGCTAACAAAGATATCCTTCTGAAGCCAGTCGTTACTAACTATGCTGCTAATGTATCTCCCCTGTTGCCTAGACTGCAATCCTCGACATACACCAATCTTTATAAGTGTGACAACAATTATTATCAGGGATGCAAAATGAATGTGACAAATGATCCGAATACCATTTGTCCGTTCTGCGGTCATGCTATGAAGTATAAAGTAAATTTTGTGAATCCGACCAACGAGCCTTCAAGCTCGGGTGAAGTAGGTTTTGTCAAGGGAGCTGCAACTTACATGGTAATGGATGATTTGGTGGTGAGGCCTATGTCCACTGAATCTATCATCACTTTGCTCAACGAGTTCAGCATTAAAGATGTCCGTGAACTGCAAGTGGAAGTCGTTAGTGTTGGAGTTAACGAGGTCAAAGATATCTTGTCTCATTATAAGTTCTTTGATCAGTTTGGCACTGAAACTCTTAATGACAATGGCTTAAACTTGTTTTATTTGTGAAAATAGGGTGCGAAGTTACTGAAGGCATTGTTGCAGTCCAAAACTGCACTTACGGACGTGTTCGTTGAGAGGAAAGCAGGGGGCAGCAACGTTAGCAATTCCAGTGATTCCGTCGTCATAGAGGAAAATACTGATTGAACTTCAGCTTGGGAAAATCTTTCAAGAGCCTAGGAAGAGAAGCTCTTTTGCTTTTCTTTGACTTCAGCAGTTTGCATGTCAATTTGCCTTCAAACTGTTATGTAATAACAGTATTAGTAGATCTTTATACACTATTTATATTATTTTTAGCATCGAATCGGGTTACGAAACATTCTCAATTACTGTCAATGGTGTCTTACACAAGCTAAACAATGAAAGAATATACATTTTCTCAATCCAGCTTTGCTTTTACAGAAATTACTGTCAAAGCATGCCTTTGGAGGAAGTTCATAATTAAAACAGTTGTGAGAATTGGAAGAAATGAAAATAGACCAAAGAAGGGAAACTACAGGGTATCTATTTTGTATTGCAACAAATGATTTAGAGTAACACTGATCACTGAATATACAAATAACAGTCTGTGGAACAAATGACCATCGGTTACGATGGTGTTAACAACGATGCTGTACAACCAGGGTGAATTGCCACACGATCCTTCCCGAAAGCACTTGCATGCAAACAATCATAAACATACATTGTAACAAACTATGGATTCACAAAGAACTTTTATGTGCATTCAAAAGTGAAGTCTGCAAGAGAGTTTTTCCCAACACAAGCAAAACTGGGCCAAAACCTTACGAAGAGATGATGGTCAAAAGCCACTAGACGATGTTGGGCAAGAATCTCCACTTCTTGGTGCCCACCGCAAAAGAATTCAAAACATACATTGTTTAAAACTCTGAATTGCACAGCTAAAAACTCTCGACAATTCATGCTTGTGCTTTCATATCCATGGTGAAATTCTAAACATTTTTGCCCCTTCCCGCACCTCTAAAGAATAGTTTCATAGACAATATGTTTTGGTAAGCATCTTGGACACATTCTCTTGATGTACTATAACTGAAGTTCAGTTAATGAAGTAAAAACAACCAACATAGAAGTGAACTTACAAGGACATCTTGTAGTTGAATGACATCCAAAGAGAATATGAAAAGATACATGCATAGGTCGTATTCATGATTTGACGTTGACAATGGAATGATGCAAAATTTAGTTCACAGGTAAACACTGAAAATGATGGGAACAATTCGTGGTAAAAATGCAACTGAACGTTGTTCTAAAGACACTAAACTACATTGGTTTCAAAATCAATATTTTCATATTCCATCAGAGCTATCCATCCAATGAACGATTGAGGTGCAGAAACCATAAGAATATCCATGTTGTAGAATATCTGCACAAAATTTAACCTAACCGATTGATATGGAGTGTCTTAAAATGCTTGCATGCAGCAGATGCTGGAAGGTGCATAATTTACCATACCAATCCGCATAAAAGCTGCTAAACCATGTTGTGTAGATATAGAAGAAAAACTTGCCGAAAATACATACAACCAGTAAGGCTAATTACCTCATTTGTTTTGCTGTTTTGCCATGGGAACTAGGCTTGACGCTTGAAATTCTTGAGCAAGAATAGGCCATGCGAATAATCGGGAAGATAATTTATAAAATCTAATGACTCGCAAGTCTGTATTCAATTGCTTAAGAGCTACAGTGTCTGCAGCATCGCAAGCAATTTAGTTGGTTCTTCGCCTTCGTTGACAATCTGTTATCAGTGATTAAGGTGCAAAACATAAGGTTAGAAGAGAAGCACTACAAATGAATACAATGCACATACTTAACATGTCAACATAATAACAAAAGGGTGCATATCAGAAGCTTCAAATATATATAAACATTAGTCCATACCTTTACATGAGTGTCGTTTGGCAGACCCACTTGAGTTAGAACATCATAACCAACTTGGTTCCAGTCAATATCTTCTATATCCCCTAGCACTTGGCTGCTATCTAGATGAATCAAGCTTTTGTCACAATGAAAAAACCTCCCTATCCAAAAATATAGAATGCTATCTTCAGTTTTTCCTACATCCGTAGCCGGAGAAAAAATTGCAAAAGCAGATTTTGAATCTATATCCCTTTTATTAAATTTTGTCATCTTGTCTATGCCAGGCCAGCGCCATACTAAAGGTCGAACTAAACCAGGACATGCAGGAAAACTTTCCTCTATCCTATTTGGAACACCAGAAACAAAACCATCTAGGGGACTGTGAATTCTTTGAGGTTCACAAGTACCAACAAAAGTAGATCCCTTATCACCTGAGCCGATATTAGCTCTTCTACAAGGGGATATCATCAAATTGGAACCTTCAATCATAATATCCCCTCCGTTTCTCACACCATGATTGGAATCAAAGACAATGTCAATATCCGATTTGCGCAATGCACTAGTATTGTCATTTATTCCAACACCATCTTGCTTGACAAGAAAATATGACTGATCATTTGTTTCTGTTGTATTATCACTCAGCACTGGCAGCTTCGGAGACTTTGACAAACTTACTCGCCCTTCTGCAAGGGATGGTGAAACTGTTTTCAGGGGTGATGATGAAGCCTCAGGTTGAGAAGTGAAATTGACACTGACAATTCCTGAGGTATTAGATTCGGGGTGTGAAGAAGTTTCTGATGAAACAAGAGACAAGTTCGAAAAATTAGGCAAAGTTGAAGAAATTTGAGGGGAACTAGAAACAGCCAAAGGTGAATCCAGAGAGGACTCCGAAAAGTAGTTCGAACAACTACTGGAATCAGGAGAGCGATACAGAGGTGAGGAGGAAGAAGAGGACGATGTTGATGATGGTGATGATGATGATGCACGAACTATCATCATGGAATCTGAATACATCCTAGAGAGCAATATTTTTGGTGCGGAGACAAAGTCCTTCATTATATCAGAGGCAAACTTAGATCTAAGCATGCTCCAGCTGCTTTCTCTAGCAGGAAGGTGGGTTTCATGTCCATCCTCTGATGGTGCAAATGGAGGGACAAAGCCTCCCTTTATAGCCTTTTCAAAAACCTCAAAATCAACATTATATGACTCCACTATCCTCTTACCAGGGTAAATCTTAATGGCTGACTCCCCCACTTCAACTTTATTTCCGGCTTTGTCCATCAAAGGTAAAAATCTCGAAAAGGCATTCCAAAAGTAAGTCGGTTCTTCTCCTTCCTTTATCAATATTATAGACCCCTGCACTTTCTCATACCGAACAATCTGGCATACAGCACCTCGCGTGTCCCTTTCCATGATAGATTCACAGTTTCTACCAATCCAAACATATATTGCAGAAGGTATTTGAACAATAAATGCACCTCTAGAATCCAGCACATAAGGAGATGGATCATTCAACATTTTAGGTACCAGGTGCAACGGATAGTAAGGCGAGTGAGGCGCAATCCTATACATTCTCAATAAAGAACTGGGGCTCAATGGGAAAGCATGGACCCTCTTTTGACACTGTAACAACTGACAAGCAAAACCCATATTGGGATCTGCAATTCCTCTTGCCGCCTTTACATACTGAAAGGCATCATCAAAATTATGTCCTTCTCTCCACATAAGATATGCTATAACCAGTGATGTGGACCTTGATACCCCCTGGCAACAATGAACAAAAACTCTTCCGCCCTGTTCCCTAACATCCTCAAAATAATCAAAAACGTCGTAAAGTATGCTAGTAATATCCTCGGATGGACTATCTTGCAGCCACAAAGTTCTGTACACAAAATCAGCCTTGAAATATTCCGGACAAACAAAGCCCACACAGTTCAAAACATGAGTAATCCCATTCTGTTTGAGTATTTCCCTGTCCCTTGCAACAGCATCTCCGCCAAGATAAATATGTTGAGCCACTTTTGAGCATTCTTTATCAAAGGAAGCAATCTTATCCCTCTTCATAAGCCTGCTATTCTTATCATTACCCCACTGAATGGATGATAAGTCAAGCTTCAACCTCTCACCGCTCTTGTTCCCACTAGGGGGTCGGCAGCTGTGGCCACTCTCCAATATCATCAGAACCAGCCTTCGGCCACTCCTCCAGACTCCTCCGTGCAATTGACAACGGCTGCAAGGGTGGCAAACATGACCTGGCCTTAGAATTCTGTTGCGAACAAGGGGTTAAGGGAGGAGGAGGAAACCAGCGAGTTTGTCCATCATTAGTACCATTATTAGCATTAGGATCTGCTCCTAGATCTTTGCCAGCTTCAGGAATTTGAAGACCGGTTCTGGATGCAGACCATGAAGCTGACCGCCAAAACATTTTCCGAGAGCCAGAAAGCTGGCATGATGGAGCCCTAGAATTAACAGGAGCATCCTCTTTGCCCACCATACCCACTTCACAATATCAACTTTGCTAAAATAGAAAAACAAGCACAAAGATCCAGTTAAACTCTAATACTAATTCACCATGCTTCCAATATCACAAACAACTTCATAAGGTCATCAAACAAATATAACCCAGATCCACAAACCTAATAAAAACTCTTTAACTTTTCACCAATTCCACCGTTTTCACTTTCCACAATACCTAATTTCAACCCTAAAATCTTCAGACAAAACCTAGAACCATTCAAAAAGATACAAATTGGGAATTAAAAACCTCACTTGAAATTACGAGTGTACATGGATGAAGTAACCCCCAATATGTGATAAAATCGAAAATCCATGTCATATCAACCATAAGGAACGAGTCACTGCAAATACAGGAAAAAATAAGCAAATCAAAATACAATATTTAAAAAGAAAAATAAAAAAGCACAGGAATAAAGGGAAAATAATGAAAACCCAGAGTTCCAATACAAGGCAAATAAACAACAATGAAACAAAATTTTAGAAAACGGTAAACCCAAATTGTAAATCTATCTCGGCAACTTAAGAATAACATCAAAACTTTAAATACACACACACACAAACACATAGACACACACACACACACACACATATATATATATATAGAGAGAGAGAGGAAAGATTTGGGGCTTACAGGGAAAATGAAAGGAAGGGAAAGAAGCCATGGAAAGAGTGAAGCTGAAGAGGGGGAAATAAGCAAAAGAAAAAAATGAATGATGAAAAGGAAAAATGGAAAGGAGGGGTCAGGAAAGTGCGGTATATGTTACTAATCATTTTTGGTAGAATTTGTAAAAAGATCCTCCTACTATATGTTGTTCTGTGAATTTAATCCATATAGTATGGTTTTGATCATTTATAACCTTCTACGTTTCATGTATTTTCAATCTCGATGTCAAAATATTCTCAATTTAAAACT